CTGTCGGGTCGTGGTTCCCCACCGGGTGGTGTTGTCGATCATATCCTTGCTGATGAGCTGCTGCTGATTGCTGTGCATGTGCAGCTGCGGCCTTGGCGGCATTCTTCGTTGCTTTTTTGCCCTTGCGACCTTTCATCTTGGCCTTTTCAAGCAGTCTCCTCTTTTCCGCTAGCCGCCGGCGCTCCTTGCGGTCTTTAATTTCATACTGCCTGATCAGCGCCTCTGGTGGCCGGCCGAATATACTTTCATATTCGCAGAACTCGCATATCCAAATCTCGTCGATGTTCGGCGGGTGGTGGAGATTCGCATACTGTTGTCGTAACCGACGTTGACGAGCGGCCAAGGCATAGATGCTTCCCGGGGACCGTCGTGTTTTCTTGCCCGAGGTGGCGTTTTGGCCTGTGTTTTGTGACGGGTGCTGAGCCTGCACCTGGCCTTGGTGATTTGTCTGGGACGCTAAATTCGGGCTCGTCTGCGTCCCCTGTGTCGAAAAACCCCTTTGACCCGGGGCCATTGAAGAAAGTGGTTGGTTACCTGCCCGATGATGTTGTTGGATAGAATAGGAGTTCTGGGTTTGCCACGCCATGCCTTTCGATGAGTCGGATTCGCAGGTAAAGGTGAATTGTGTTTTTGTTGGAGAGGGCTTTCTTGTCTGGTCTAACAAGCTCGTGTTATCTTGTCCCTGCGGTGTTGACGCTGAAAGAGCCGCGGCATTGGCTATGGCCGCAGAAATGATTCCTTGGTCAGAATGGTTCGAGAATTCACCTGGGATCTGTCAGTAATCTTGACCCGGGTCTTGAAAAAAATTAATATCATGTTGAAAGTCAAGCTATACCAATTGATTCTTGGCCCATAGAAGTTGCTACCTCCTTGCGTCCAATTCCAGATCGGCCTCCGAGCCAAGAATTCGGGTTATGAACAGCGAGAGGGGTCCTTCCGCTGACCGTACGGCTAGCATTCCGGCCATAACGCCCTCTTCCGGATCCCGATATACCGTTCACCGCCGGTGAAGCGGGATTCCCGGTTCCGTAATACGAGCCAGTTCCGCTCCCGTCATCTATAGAGGACGAATTGCCACTGTTCGTCGAAATGCCCCGGGTAATCATATCTGCAGATAAATTCGAATGGTTTCCAGGGTTACCGGACGTGGGTATCTTCCTTTTCTTTTTATTGTTTGTGTTCTCAAAAGCATCGTAGCCATCAGGCCCAGCCGAAGGCGTTTTGGTTGGCGTGTCCTCCAGATGTTTGACGTATTTCTGGCCGGTTTCGCCCATGGGGGACAAGGACGATCTATGGAACCCGCCACTTCGACGGACAACCACGGGGCCGTCTTCATCACCGCTGTCTACGCTCTCATCATACAGATGGTGGTGGTCGCCTTCAGGACTATGCTCGCGTCCGTAATTTGTCTGTTGCACGTAAACCTTGGCATTATTAACAACATCGCCATTCCCAGAATAAGAACCGTAGAAAACTTGGGTGACAGGCGGGGCAGGCGGGTAAAGTATAGATTCAGCAGCCTCAGGGGATAGACGTGCACGGATGGGACGCTTCGGTAGGGGACGGATCAAACGATCTGGGAACACAGGAGATGGAGTGTCAGGAGCGGAAGTATAAGTCCCGCCTACGTGATGACAGCATCAGCATCCAAAGATCACAAATTTGTAGAAAGTGGATTTGTATATTGTTTCTATAAAGCTCCCCAGGCGAGGTTGAGTGGGAAAAATAGTCCATGATACTTTTCATTTTTTCAAATTTTCAAAAATTTTTTTTTCCTCTTCTTCTTCCCACCAAACCGAAGTACAGCTCATCAGGGAGACCCCTAGTATCAAGCATACGGTGGGTAGATAACTGGAGTGGAAGTGACATACTCAGTGTGGCAGCCATTTTCCAACCTCGTAAATCCAACTTCAAACGAGATATCCAGGTTTGCTTGGATTCAAGATGAACGTTTTGATACTGTGTGCTTTGCGGTGGAGGATTTCAGGGTGGAATGCAGGAGGGGGGAATTGTGGAATGATAGAGAAGTCAAAATCGAGCTGGGGAGCACCACGAAGTCAGCAGGATATTTCATAGATTTGACATCCCAGCGTCCAGCCAGAGAGCAGATATTGTAGGTACATTAACAAGTCCTCAGAGAGAGATTGGGAGAGAACTTGCCTAGCACGATGGGGAATGAATGATGAGATGACAAATATGGGTGTACCGGGGATCCGCAAGTCGACAGCAAAAGGGATGCCGGCCGTGTGCATATATATCGATACGTTCTATATATCTCCAGTACAGCTGAATCCAACAAACAAGCGAATCGACAGGGCGGGCAATCCAGACAGAGATCCTTCACAAGCAGAGCAAAGAACTGGCGATGGAAGCAGAGGTGTCGATGTAATCGCTGGGACTGGGTGTTGAGCTTTCGGTAAATACAGCACCTGCGCTAACTGGTTTGGGAGCACAACCCTCCAGGCCAGACTGGGAGATTCAACAACATTGTACCAGCATCGGCAGCCCAGACAGCGGGTGCGGGATATGCCTGTGGTATTCCGTTATTGCCCTCCAGTTTTCTTGTATACCGCCCCTTCTGCATTATCTTTAACTACGTTTGTACAGGTTTACAGTCCGGATAACCATCCGTGTTAGTGGCAACAGTGTATGAAAGTCCTCTCACCGTCCGTGGCAAAGTTGCCCTCGATCTCAACCAGCTTTTTCCTTCTACGTGTACTGTTTTTGCCCGAAGACCCGGTGCAGGGGAATAGGACAGAATAACAACACCAAATCACAGCCAATGGGAACAACACGATCCGCCTTTTTTCTTGCGGGGAACTTCCGCGACATGGGCCGTAGACCCAAGCGTCCGTTGAGGACACACTCATCAATCACACGGCGTTGGTTTGGATATGTTCTCTCTATCCAATTAACTTCCATTTATTTCGGATACGTGGATATTGCCGTGACATCAATCCATTAGGGGGCCGTGCAAAGGGTCTTGGGGTCTCTTGGGCAAGTTCAACATTTTCATCCCTTTGGAGCTGAAGAAGACCGGACGGGGCGTTGCTTTGGGCGGGAGGCGGGACGTGGCAGACGTATTCATTTCTATTTCATTATTTAGTCGGAGAAGAGGAACTCGATGATCTCTTGATGCGATCATTGTCACCCATAGTCCGATTGCATCAACAGCCCGCCCCGCCGCATGCCATCTGTAAATAATCTTCCATGTATACAACAATCCTTCTGCCATACGGAGTACATGTAAGCATGAATGGAAAATTGGGAACTGTAAGGGATTTTCAGCATATCCACTCTGGAAGGATGAGCGTGGCCCCTATCCGTCTAGACCTTACAGGATGATATCACCAGGTCCATTACAGGAGCGCTGGAAGCGGGATATAGAGCAACCGATTCGATCTCATCGTGGATGGAATCTCTAGAATGTACGGGACGGTTAAATTGTGTTAGTGAGGAAACAGCTCCCAGGAGTAGGATCAAAGGCACCAACATTGCACCACACCAGTTTTCATTGCTGCTGCCTCGGGATGAGATTGCTATTATTAGGTATCTGTTCAGTCTGAAGGTCTGTGTAGAAAGGAACATATAATCAATAACTATATAGTACATGCCGGAATCATGGCGGAGTTGTCCGGGGCATCGGTTGATTTACACAACGCCATTGACATGGCGAGAGAAGACAGCTACTGCAGGGATCTGATGGTGGGTTGTCCTAGTATTTTGAGGACGATCAAATCAAAAAGAAAACGCCAGCTGCTGTCCCGAGGGTGACAAACAATAACAGCAACAGTAACTAACATGCCTGGGGCGTGGTCATCACAGCGCGAGGGTTTGGCTGGGAACTTTGGTTGGTTTGTCTAGAACACTTGTTAATTAATTAACCGAAGGCGCGTGTGGTGCTGGGCTGTTGGCGCTGGCAAGATTGCGCGGGGAAAAACGAGGACGAGATCCGCCGAACCCTCGCCCGGACCAAGGGTCGCCTTCTCATCACCGCACTTATATGAGTCCATTTTGTCCTGCACATCCCTCACGCTCTTGAACACTGCCTCCAGCCAAACCTCTCAGAGCATGTGGCCTTTCAGTTTGTCGTCTGTTCTGTTTCTGAATGTATTTATCTCTCCCTTTTGATCTTTGAAAACTGTTTCCAATTGCCAGTCAGCTCCCGTAGCTACGGGCGAACTCGAACCACGACCACATCCACCCCGCCCCTTTAAAATTCTATTCGTTTCTCGACTGCAATTACCTTTGATAAAGGAAGTCGATCGTGACGGCTTCTAGAATTTTTTATGATTTGGCTAGGAAGGCCGGCTTCG